ATCTATCTATCTATCTATCTATCTATCTATCTATCTATCTATCTATCCCAGGCTTTATGACATGTTGAAATGAATTTTTACAGTAATATCACTATACGTCATCTAAGGAGTGAACACAATGAGAATAAGATTTCTGATACAGTTTTTTGTTTGCTTTGTTTTTTTTATTTTTTTTTTCATTTGCATTTAGAAATAAAGAAGAAGAAGATGAAGGAAAAGACATGTCTTATTTGCCTTATCCCACCAGCCACCAAACATAGTCTAACTCATTTGGGAAGAAGGTGTGATATGCTGCATATGACATGATGATAAAAATGAAAAAAGGTATTGAAATGACATGAAAATGCATTTTCTGTCTGTGGTGGGTCTAAGGAGGTCTGCAGCTACCAAAAGTTGCTTCTCAGGAAACTGACAGCCCTCTCCAACTACCCTAAAAAAGCTTAACTTGCCCAATCTCACCTTCCCCTAAATGAAATAAATTAATTTAGGGAGAAGGTGTGATATGCTGCATTAAAGATAAAAATGAAAAAAGAATCTTAACAGTGCCTCCTGCCTGTGATGAGTCTTATAAGTTCCTATAAGTTCTCTTCACAAATCTAACTGCCTTCTCCACCTTATTTCCAATTGCAGAAAAAAATCTTCTTATTTTGTTCTTCTTCTTGATGCTTCTTGTGACATCTAACTCATATTCCAGAGTGGTAATTAGCGCCATATCAAAATCTGTGCTGTCTACTGCCATGGCTGCATCCAGTAGCTTTTCCACTGAGCCAAATCTTTTCATGAGTGCCTTTATGCTGACATTCAGAACATCTTTCAGGTTTTCTTCATGTAGGGTGGGGTTATAGTTCTCTGTATCAGTTTCTGGCACCACCAAGAACAAAAGCCTTCTCTTGACTTCAATGATTTCGTCTTTAAAATTGTTGTGGTCAGTTTCACACTTTGACAAAAGCCTGAGAAGCAGCGCCATGGCCAGGCTGTTTGTCAGAGTCTCCGCTGAGAGTTCAGGCGCCTCTCTGCTTGCCTGGGGTAAATTCTCCTCTTCTTCATCAGGTGACCCTTCAATAATTTCATCAGCCACACTCTTCTCATCCTCAACCCATGCGGTTTTGTTCACATCCTCATCTTGGTTAATAATAACCTCCTCACCGTGTTCAGCAGCTTGAGACAAATGGCTTGAGGGAGGCACTGACTCTTGGGAGGACTTTGATTCAGCCTTTGTGTTTTCCGGGGCTGGGATTCCCACTTTCAGAAGGTTCTCGATGTCTCGAAGTGCTCCTAATGCGTTGTCATTTTCAGCAATTGGCTCTGTGTCCTTGATCATGAAGAGGAAGATCTGCTGGACAAACTTGCCGACAGCATCTTCTGTCATGGCGTACAGCACCTCTGGAGAAAAGCTCGTCCGATGTCCGTCCATCGTCTTTTCAATCTTGGAGATGACGGAGTCGGACAGACATCTGCCCTTTGGAACAATTGGCATGTGATATATCTGCTCCGTCATCAGATGGTCGTACATCTTGTCTGTTAATTCTTTAGAGAAGTTTTGGACTTCACTGCACTGAGTAATACTGTCCAGCCGCACGTGGAACTCTTCATCTGACAAGGTCATTTCTGTCATTAAGGTATCCAGGTTCCTTTTGAAGGTGGCAAAATTCATTTCAGAAGTCTTTTGTTTTACTACAGTCTTCAGTCTCCTCTGCTTGGTTTCTGATGATGGCTTGGGAGTCTCTGGGATGCTTCCTGGCAACACAAAATCCCAGGCTCCATCCTGCGGGGATCTGGGATCTTTCGCCATGTTTATGACTGACTGTTCAGTCTTTTTCTTACCCAAATTCTTCAGTTCTTTCTTCAGTTTGTTGAAGTATGTTTCAGTAAATTTGGAGATGGATTTTTTCTTTGGGTCACTTTCATTAGTGTTTTCTGAAGGTGCCGTCAGCTTCCTCACTTTGTCAACGATCAATGTCAAGTCAAAGTGGCGTCTCTGTGGAGCTCCGTTCTCACTGGATCCACCAGGTTGTTCTTTTTCTGGAGTTTTCACATTATCCAGGATGATGTTAAGAATTTCAGCTGCTGCACTCTTTGCTGATCGACTGGGGCTGGCGGCTGGAACGGGACCACTTTCCTGGCTTGTCTCTGGTTCAGACCATTTTCTTACAATGTCAGTTATGGACTCAGTTACTGATTTAACTGAGTCTGGGGATTTGGGGCTGGTGGATATCAGACCCAGTTCATCACTGACTTCCACACATTGTCTTCCTAATTTGGTGTTGGGTGAAGACAAGCACCCTTTCAGACATCTGGTAGCTTGAAACACCATGTGGCCCAGGCGTTTCATGTTTGAGGTGATGCCATTGACAAAAAGAGCTGGTTTAGAAGGCAGAGTCTCCTGGGTAGCTGCCTCAGATAGATAGGACTGGACTTTCTCTTCTATCTCTGCTTCTGCCAGTTCAGTAAGCACTTTGCCTTCCTCTAGGTTTTCCTGTTTAGTGTTAAAAAAGGCACAGAAACTTTGAAGTAAAGAATGACCAAGGTCTGGTTTGACAGTGGGCACAGATGGTTCAGCCTGGTCCCTGTCTTCGGAGGACACTTGATGAATTTTTGGCAAGATGGTTTTTAGCAAAACTGTTGACACAGTCTGAACGATGTCCGTCAACAGGCCTGTAATAACAGCCTCTAGCTCTGCTTCCATTTCCCCAGAAGCCAGCAATGCCCACTGGGCAGCTGAAACATTTTCTAAATGTTTTTTAACTAATGGATTAATAATCTCCTCTGTGATGAGGATGGTTTCAGCGTTGGATTCTTTTGGTTCCATTGTACAGTGTTTTTTCTATTCTTTATCTTGGTCGGAGTAAGAAAACCGTCAGTGCGTGCGCTCAGGTCAGTAATGATTCTGAAGTGCAGGTTTTCAGAACGTTGAGCCTTTATACCTTCTGCAGCCACGTGCGTCACACTGACGTAACGAAGACAGTTACCTATGTGACATCAGGCACAAGGTAGGTTCCACGTGGGGGGAGGGGGCGGGGGAGGGGTGTGTGTGTCTGGAATCACGTGACAATGACCTCGCGATCATTCCTCAGTTTAACTTGGAGGAGTGGCCATCTATCTATCTATCTATCTATCTATCTATCTATCTATCTATCTATCTAT